AAAAAAAAAAAAAAAGAAAAGAAAAGAAAAGTATGTTTAAAAATAAAGTAGAAATATGAAAGTTAGTATAAGCTTGAATTTTCTAATTACTTTAGCTTTTTATTTGTTTGTTTGTTTATTTATTTATTTAGTTAGTTAGTTAGTTAGTTAGAGTTGTAGTCTCACTCTGCTCCCCAGGTTGGAGTGCAGTGGAATGTGTTCCCAGCCATCACAGCCTTGAGCTCTTGGGCTTAGGCAATCCTTCCACCCAGCCTTCCAAGTAGCTCCACTACAATCGCACACCACCATGTCCAGTTAATTTTGGGGGCTTATTGTATAGACAAGGTCTCAACAAGTTGCCCAGGCCGATGTCCAACCCCTGGGCTCAGGTAATTCTGTTGCCTCCTCCTTTCAAAGTGCTGGAATTACAAGCATGAGTCACCATGCACCGCCCTCTAATTACTTTAAAAATTATTATTCTAACTACTACATTTGTCAATAATCACAACCAAATATTAAGCATGACTATGTTTCAACTTTGTAGTAATGCTTTAACTTGACAAATGGTCGTGACTATATTCCTTTTTATCTTTTTATTTAAATTTAAATAGATAAATACTGCTCTGCCATGGGTCCACCCAGCAGTCTGCCCCTAATTTTACTGTCCCTAAGTGTTCTTTTCAAACATGGATTGTTGATTTACACAATTTTGCATGAACTCATAGACTTTGTTTAATTTGATAATCAATTTTAATATTTTAGGACCATCAAGTACTAGATACTGGGCTAATTCTCTTCAGGGATGCTTAGTCTTCACAATGACCATTTGAGGTAGGACTCTTTATGATACACTTTTATAGATAATCCTCTAGCTCCAAGGCACTCGTTCTTAAAGTCTGTGAATTAAGACTTGAAAGGAAATCCAGCCTCCAATGCAGGCAATTATATCCATCAATGATACAATTTAAATTATATGAAAAAAATTCTTTACTTTCAGCTCCTTCTTCCTGCCTGAATCACACACACACACACACACACACACACACACAGATTTTTTTTTCCTCAACTCTAATCAGATTAGGCCTCCCACTCACTTTCGATGCCTTCATAGTGTCATCTGAGAAATATTTGGTTTTGGCATAATAATACAATAGCCAAGAAAGCTGAGGGAATCTTGGTATGTAAGGCATCTGGTTTGAAAACAAAACAACACAGCTCTTACTTGGTTGATATAACAATAGCATCAAGTCTGTCTGCTGTCCACCTTGACAACAAATCATAATCAGGCAAAGCTGAAATAAAAAGAATAATGGTGATATATTACAGAAATGAACAAATTAAGAAAATTCTGTTTCCCTCACAAACATCCAACTTTTGCATTTTGACAGCCCCTCCCCTCATTCCACACTAAAATACTATGAAAACAAATTTAATATGTACTTATCTTATTAAGTACTTATCTTATTAAGAAACCACCCATCCACAACTCAGTAGAATTTGAGTTTTCCGGTGATTGACTTAATTACTCTTCATCTTGCTTAGCTTTGTCTTGCACATTTTGTCATTGGTCTTTCTAAACCAGCTTCAATCTCTAGAAGGCTAAGTCAACTCCCTATCTGGGAGGTATTGATTTGGCTGTTTTAGCTGATGAATATAAAAAGACAAGTCATAAACTTGACCATTGTGTTATCAAACATGTGAGCCAATATAGACAGAATTCAGACAACATAGAAGGACCACCTAGGTATGCATGGCACAGCAGAAAAAAAATGCCTGAATATAAGCAGGATAGTACTATGCTCCCTTAAAACACTGAAATTTACTACTTGCATCCATACTGTTCTCCTAAAAAGATGTCTACCTAAAAAGGTGTCATGCTTCTTTTTGTCTTGTCTAGGAGGAAGACCTGATGCTCTTTTTCTCCAACTCCAACCCTCCTATCCATATCCAATTATTTTGCCAATGTTCTTCATCTTCTTTCCTTTTATTTCCTCTTGGATATTTGTCCATTGGTCAACACTCCCAGCCCATACCTTTTCTAACATTTATTCTTTTTTAGAGTTATGGGCTACAAGTCATATAGTTTGAGGTTTTGCATTTAAGTCCTTGATCCATTTTAAGTTGATTTTTAAATATAGTGATAGGTAGGGGTTCAGTTTCATTTTTCCACATGAGGCTAGCCAGTTTTCCCAGCACAATTTGCCTAATATGGTTTCCTTTCCCCAGTGTTTGTTATTGATGGCTTTGTCAAAGATTAGTTGGTTGAAGAACTGAGCTTTTATTTCCAGATTCCCTATATTATTCCATTGGTCTGTTTGCCTATTCCTGTAGCAATATAATGCTGTCTTGGTTACTACAGCCTTTCAATATAGTTTATGATCTGGAAGCATGATACCTCCAGCTTTGTTCCTTTTGCTAAGGATTGCTTTGGTTATTTGTGCTTTTTTGCTCCCATATGAAATTTTGTATTGTCTTTTCTAGTTCTCTGAAAAATGATGTTGGCAATTTGATAAGAATTGCATTGAATCCACAGATTGTCTTGGGCAGAATGGACTTTTTAATAATATTGATTCTTCCAATCCATGAGTATGGGATGTTTTACCATTTATTTGTTTCACCCTAGATTTCTTTGAGCAGTGTTTTATAGTTTTCATTGTAAAGGTCTTTTCACTTCTCTGTTTAAGTGGATACCAAGGTATTTCTTTTCTTTTCTTTTCTTTTTGTCTGTGTGGTTATTGTGAATGAGATTGTATTTTTTCATTTGAGTCTCAGCCTGCCTGAAGTTGGTGTAGAGAAATGTAATTGTCTTTTGTGCATTGATTTTGTATCCTGAGACCTTATCAACGTCATTGTGCAGAGATTTTTGACAGATTCTCTAGGATTTTCTCAGTATAGAATCATATCTTCTGCAAAGAGGAACAGCTTAACTTCCTCTTTTCCTGTTAGATATCCCTGATTTCCTTCTCCTACCTGATTGCTCAGGCTAGGACTTCCAGTATTATGTTAAATAGGAGGGTTCAGAGTGAGTAACCTCGTCTTATTTCAATTCTTAAGGGGAATGCTTCCAGTTTCTGCACATTAAGCATAATGATGGATTCAGGTTTGTCGTAAATGTTTCTTTCTTTTTTTCTGAGTTGAAGTCTCATTCCGTCACGCAGGCTGGAGTGCAGTGGCATGCATGCTCATGTCCACCCCAGCATCAACCTGCTGGGCTCCAACAATTCTTCCACCTCAGTCTTCCAAGTAGCTAGAACTACAGGTGCCTGCTACTATGCCAGGCCAATTTTTTTACTTATTGTAGAGAGGAGGGCACGCCAAGTTTCCCAGGCTGGCCTCGAACCCTTGGGCTCAGGCGATCCACTAGCCTCAACCTCCAAAGTGCTGGGATTATAGGCTGAATCATCGAGGCCTGCCATGTCTCATTGTTTTGAGGAATGTTCCTTTGATGCCTAGGTGTTCAAGGGTTTTTACCAGGAAAGGTTACTGAATTTTATCGAATGTTTTTTCTGAATCTAATGAGATAGTCATGTGGTTCTTTTTTTTTTACATCAGTTAAAGTGCTAATTACATTTATGGTCTTATGAAGGTTGAACCAGCTTTGCATTCTGGGAATAAAACTCACCAGGTAAAGGTGTATGTGTTGTTAGATACTATTTGCTAGAATCTTGTTGAGAATGTTTGCATCTATGTTGATCAGGGAAAATTGTCCTGTAATTCTCTTTTCTTGTTGTGTCTTTGCCTATTTTGGATATGAGGTTGATATTAGCTTCATAAAATAAGATAGGGAGAATTCTGTCCTTCACAATTGCCTGAAAAACTTTCGGTAAGATTGCTATCAGCTCTTTCTTGTATGTCTTAATATTTTTAGCTGAGAAGCCATCTGGTCCAGGATGCTTTTTGTCAGGGAGTTTTCTTATAACTGAGTTGATTTCCCAGATTATTATTGGTCTGTTTAGGTTTTCATTTCTTCGTTTGTTTGTTTCAGCCTAGGGAGGTTGTGTGATGCCAGGAAATCCATCATTTCCTCTAGATATTCTAGTTTATTTGTGTAGATATATTTATACTAATTTCTGATAATCTTTTGAATTTCTTCAGAGTTGATTGTGAATCTACTTTTTCATATCTAATTGTATTTATTTGGACTTTCTCTTTTTTTTAGCTAACTTGGCCACAGGTCTATCTTATTTATCCTTTTAAAGAATCAATTTTTGTCTTATTGATCATTTCTGTGATATTTTTGTCTTCTATTTCCTGTAATTGTGACTTTATCTTAGTCATCTGGATTTTTCTATTAAAATTAGGATATAATTGTTCTCATCTTTCTAGCTCCCTTAGGTATGATGTTAGGCTATTTACTTGCAATCCCTGTTTTCTTGACATGGGCTTGCAATATTATAAACTTTCTGCACAGCATTGATTTGATGGTATCCCAGAGACTTGATATGTCATGTCATTGCTTATATTTGTTTTCAGGAATCTTTTAATTTCAGTATTGAATTCTGTGATGACCCAAAAGTCACTCAGCAGCACGTCATTTTGTTTCTATGTCTTTGTGTGCTTTGGAGGGTTCTTGTTGGTAGGAATATTTACTTTTATTCCATTGTTTGGTATTATTTCAACTTTTTGGAATTATCTCATGCTTGATTTATGCCTGAAAATGTGATCAATATTGGAATATATTGCATGTGTTTATGAGTAGAATGTATAGTCTGTGGTTGTTGGGTGGAGTGTTCTGTTGATGTCTATAAGTCCAATATATCTAGTGGTATATTAAAACCTTAGATTCCTTTGTTGGTTTTTTCCTCAATGATCTGTCTAGGGCTGTTAGGGTGTATTAAAGTCTCTGACTGTGATTATATGGGTGCCTATGTCATCTCTTAGTTTACATAACATTTTTAAAATAAATCCAGGGGCTCCGTCTTTGGAGCATATATCTTAGGTGAATTGAAGCTTTCATCATTATGAAGTGTCCTTCCATGTCCTTTCTAACATTTATTAGTTTGAAGTACATTTTGCCTGATATAAGAATAGCGATCTCTGCTCTTTTTTGTTTTTCATTTGCCAAGAAAATCAATTTACAGCCCTTTGCCTTGAGCCAGTGGCTGTCCTTTGCAATGAGATGAGTTTCCTGGACACAGCAGTATGTTGGATCATGTTTCCTATCCTGCTTGCTAGTCTATGCCTTTTTAGTGGCACATTCTGTCCATTCATATTCAAGTTAATCATTGATATGTGATGGTTTATCCCTGTCATGTTTTGGGCTCTTAAGAGGTTGTTTTAGTTTTAGTTTATTTTTTTAATTTATGAATGATCTGTATTCTCTGTTAACTTTGTGCTTGCCAGTACTTTTGCAATAAATAGAACCATTTTTTTTTTCATTTCTGTGCTAAAAGCTTTCTTAAGGATCCTCTAAAGGAATGGTCTGGAAGTGGTGTATTCTCATAAGGATCTGATGCCTGGGAAGGATTTCAATTCTCCATCAATGATGAAACTTAGTTTGGTGTGGTGGAAAATTCTTGACTGAAATTGCTTATCTTTGAGAATGTTAAAGATGGGACTCCAGTCCCTGCTGGCTTGTAGAATTTCTGTTGAGAGATCTGCTGCAATTCTGATGGGTCTTCCCCAGTGGGTGGTCTGACCCTTCTCTCCAGCTTTTCTTTCATGTTTACCCTGTGGATATGGATTACCATGCATTTTAAGGATGGTCATCTCATGCAATACCTTATAGGGGTTCTTTGAATCTCTTGCATTTGGATAGTAGCCTTTTTAGTGAGATATGTAAATTTTTCTTGGACAACCTCATGGAAGACTTGCTCCAGGTTGTTGTTAATTTCCCCTCTGTTTTGGGGATATCAATCAGCCATAGGTTTGATTTCTTTACATAGTTCCACAACTCTCATAGGCTTTGTTTATTCTTTTTGGCCTTTTCTCCTTGTTTTTGTCAGACTGGGTTAGTTCAATATTTTGGTCTTCAAGGTCTGAAGTCATTTCCTCTGCCGATCAATTCTGTTCCTTATACTTGTTATTGTGGTTTGAAATTCCAGGAGAGATTTCTTCATTTCCAGGATTTCAGAATGAACCTTCTTATATTGGCCACCTCAGTGTTTACTTTCTTCACATCTTAGGTGATCTTTGCCAAATTCTCATGGTTTTCCTTAACTGTTTTTGCTGTCCAATGTCTGAATTCTGTGTCTGTCATCAGGGAAGGATCATTCTGTGTGGCTTCCATTGATTGGGGACTCGGTGGTATTTTTGTAGGTGAAACATTTTTTAAGTCTTTAAGGATTGCTGACGTTTTTGCCCTGATTCTTTCTCATCTGTGAGGAACACATCTTCTCTTTGTATTATTGTTTTTTAGATTTTTTTCTTTTTCTTTTTTTTTTAAGCTGGGAATGGTCTTACTGCCTTAGAACATTTTTGGCCTCCAAGATAGTTCACATAGGGAGATAGAGAGGGTCCTTTACTATTGCTTCTCCACTCATGATGGACTGTGCTTAAAACTTAAAGTGATTTTTGTTGCAGAGTTCTTCCCATTTTAGGCCAGCTAGACTGCCTTCCAATCCTGTGGCAAGCTCTATGCTGGGATTAGGTGGAGGGATATGCCCCCAAGCAGCTGGGAGCACTGTTCCCAGCCCAGAAATGTTCCCACTGGAAATCAAGGTCTCCAAGTGTCTTGTGCAACTTTCCCTCCCCATCAGGGGCCCACTGAGCGCTTAAAACCAGCAGATTCCCTGTCTTCGAGAAATCCATTCTTTGGTTGCATGATGCTGACAGGAAAACCTTCCTGGTCTGGGGAGCAATGCTGGTCACCAAAAGGAGGGGTGGTGGGTACCTTGTGAGTACATCCAACAGGCGAACTTTCCTGGCCTGAGTGCCAGCTGCTGGATGCTGCCAGGGAACGCACTCTTGGGGGTTCATTGGCAGTAGGAGTTCAGTGCATTCCCAACTCCATGCTCCAATAGCAAGAACTTTTGTCTTAATCAGATCTCCTTCCACATGGGACCAACAATCTTTCCATTGGGAAGAAGGGAACTGACCTAGTCCGTGTCAAGAGCATTCATTCCTTCTCATACACAAGGCAGGGCTGGAGATCCTTTGGGAATCTGGAACCCAGTGGGGATGAGGCCCTTCTGGCTGAGCACCCAGACTTTCTCCCCCGCTGCAGGATTCAGAGTGCTTCTGGTGTACAGAACAACTCAAGCTGCCTATGTTTATCAGTGACTGAGTCCATCCTCGCTATTATGCTGAACAAGAGAGGCACAGGCCAGTTACTCCCCAATAGTCATCTATCTAACATTTTTATTTAGTGTCTTTATATCCTTGAGTCTACCAAATTATTCACATTTCTCCCAAATTAAAAAAAAATGTTTTCAAAATGTTCTTACTTAACTCTCTTCTCAGTTTGTCATTTTCTTGTTTATTCCTTTTGCAACTAAGTTCATTTATGGCCAATGATTATTATTACCATTTCTTTACCTCTCACATTTTGCTTGCTACAATGTGTTTCTCTTCTCAATAATATTAACATAAAAAACTCAACATCCAGGAGACATACTTTTGTCCTCCTTATTTGGCATCAGTATACCATTTAGTGCATTTTATTAATTCTTCTTTCTGGAGATGCTCACCTTTGGTTTTCTTTTCATGTTATAACTTTTTTGATCACCTCTCAGTTCTTTGCTGATTTCTTTTTCCTTCACCTAATACTTCTGTCTGTGTTCCCAGAGATCTGTCCTCAACCTCCCAGTCATCCTGTCAGAAGCAAAACAGATCTCTTTCTCTCTTTTTCCCTCTTTCTCTCTCTCTCCCTCTCTCTCCATCCACCCCCCCCCCCCACATTCTCAACTTCCCACATCAATTGAAAAATTTGCTTAATTTCAAACTTACAACATTTTCTTGTCAGGACTAATTTATTTTTTAGCTCTGGAATTCAGAGTTCTTAGCCTAGATGCAGTCAAATCTTTATGCCAATGGTTGATCTATATTATTTATTGGCAGTAACAGATGGTTATCAAGAACCTCAGAACTCAGGTGGGTTAGTTGATTTCCTCAGAGTCACACAATTTGGATCTTTATCCCCGTTCTTCAACTTCTAATTATATTTCTCTTTCTACTCTAATTTATACATCAAAAAATACGCAACCTTTGCTCATAGTCTTGATTACTCTTGTCTGTTCTATCATATATTTATCACTTTAAAGTACACTGAAATTATTTACTTATTTATCAGTTGATTAGATAATGAGTCCACTAGAATGTAAACTCCAAAAAGACAGGGAATGTTGTCTGTCAAAGATATATTTAAAGTTCCTAGAATAGTGTGAGGCACACAAATATATGACTAAATAAATTAGCACAATTGATGGTCCTGTAATAGTAAATGCAAAACAATAGAAATAGCAAGATATGCTTTCTTAATGTGATTGTAATAAGTAGGAAAAATGTCTTCTCATCTCTACTTGGATTGATATGGAAATGAGTGATTTGAAACTTCAGACTGTCAAATTTTGCCAGGAGAAAAAAGCATAAGAAGAAGCATGATTATCATGTCTATATGGAAGGGCACTATATAGTTACTAAAGCCTTAGTCTAATTTTTGTGAATCTCAGTTACAGGGTTTTTCTAAGCATTCACTTACCAGCACTTCCCAAACACCAGCCACCACCATGGATATAAAACAACCCTCTTCTTAGTGCTTCTGACTTCCTCTTTGGTACGTATACACGAACAGGAATGTTATTGAATTTTGTCTCAGTCACAGTGACATTTTCATCTGAGGTTGGTGGGACTTCAGTGAAGCTCATGGCAATTGCAAAGAATTCCATAAAGTGGTAAAGTCCCAGCACCTCAACAAATGTAGCCTAAAAATGAAATTCACATATATCTTAGAATTCAAGTGCTAAATGTCAGATCTATGGACATATTAATACTCACTGACTCTTAATAATTCAAATAAATAGAACTGAGTTTTCATACATAATTCTGTTTGATTCTTTTCCTCGTTGAATTGAAAATCTTCTGCAAAGCAAAAGAAACCATCAAGAGAGCAGGGAGACAGCCCACAGAATGGGAAAAAATATTTACCAACTGTATATCTGACAAAGGCCTAACATCCAGAATCTACAAGGAGCTAAAACATGCCAAAAGAAAAAAAAATCAGCCCCATGAAAAAATAAGCAAAATACATGAATGGACACTTCTCAAAAGCAGACGTAAGTAGAACTATCAGACACATGAAAAAGTGCCCAGCCTTACAGATCATCAGAAAAATACAAATCAAAACCACATTGAGATACCACCTAGCCCCAGTAAAAATGGCCATCATTAATAAAACAAAAAGTAACAGATGCTGATGAGGATGTGGAGAAAAGGGAACGTTTCTACACTGCTAGAAGGAATGCAAATTAGTTCAACCTTTATGGAAAACAGTGTGGTGATTCCTAAAAGAACTAGAAATTGACCTTCCATGTGACCCAGTAATCCCCTACTGGGAATATACCCAGAGAAACACAAATCATTCCAAAAGAAAGATACTTGCACACACATGTTTATTGCATCACTGTTCATAAGAGCAAAAACATGGAACTAACCATGCTGTTCATCGAAACTGGACTGAATTTTAAAATGTGGTACATATACATGATGTGGTACATATTACACACTTATAAAGAAGGACAAACATATGGACTTTGCAGCAAACTTGGATGGATTTAGAGTCTATAATACTCAGTGATCTATCATAGAAACAAATAATTGAGTACCACATATTCTCACTCATAAGCAGACTCTGGACATTTACCGTAATACTATAAGAAAGGGATTGGCAGTAGCGTGACACTGCCCCTGAGGGTTGTGGGGGGGCACATAATATCAATAAGGGTACCCTGCTCTCAAACCAGGCAAAGTGGGTACCAAAGAGATGTGCAAGCCATTTGTATACCTAATTCTGAATTGTACCCCACATTTTTAAAACAAAAGTAAATAAATAAATAAAATTATGTTTGATTCTTTTCAAAGAACTGAAAGTGCAGAGCTTCTTCCTACAGTGGTTGTTACAAAAGGGGGAGCACTCTGAAGGGAACCAAAACATTTCATTCCAAAATCCTTGTTGTATTTCAATATGGCTGTTCTGAAGAGCTGGAAATACAAGAATAGTTGAAAAGCTGTCTTTTGTGGGGAAGATTTGCATCCGTAGGAAAAAATCTCCATTGATGCAGCCTTCTCTGAGGCTTTTCCTTGTCCAGATCAAGAAATGATGAACTGAGAGTCTTACACCCTAAAAGTCTGAAAGAAACGTTTACCATCTATTGTCTCTGAGGATTGCTATCAGTGAAGATTTAAGCTTCATAACAAGACCACCTATGCTAGCCACGCCTCCTCTTCTCTTCCTCCTATTATTACCTGTCTTGCCACCATAACCTGTTTTTGCCCATGGTCCAAACCTCTCTTCTTTCTTTAACTTCAAGATGATAAAAAGCATCAGCTCCATATGGTCATTTCTTTGAGATTTTGTATTTTGCAAGATTCCCATGCATGCTAAAAAAAAAAAAATGTATATGCCCCTTCTCCTATTAATCAGTTGATTTTCAGCAGACCTTTAGAGGATGAAGGGGAAGGATTCTCTTGATCCCTACAACTCATTTAGTTCTTATTTCACTACAATGTGTCAGGTTCTCTATAAAGCTTTAGGTGCTTCAGAAATGAACAAAATAAATGCTCTACACAGGAATCTCAGAGTTAAATGGGAAAGTCCAATGGTAAACTGTTACAAAACAAGGTACTTTGGAAGCAAACACCATGTGATTACAAAAGTTACCTGGAAATAACAAATGAAAAGGAGTTTTCAAGAGGAAAACAATTATATCTGAGTCTTGAAAGAAATGCCTTTTCTTAAGAATTTACCTTAACAAAAAAGGCAAAACCTTTCCAGGTAGAGGAATGGTTTAGCTTAGAAATGGGGAGGTTCTTGTTGACACAGTGAGATATGATTCTAAAGTTGTTGCATGTGGGATATGGGAGGCAGGTTTGGGAGAGAAGAAATGGGTGAGAGAAGTAGAGAGGACAGGCTGCCTGCCTGCAACCTGACTCTCCACTCTAGAATGAGTCCATGTCCTAGCACTCTGTATGTACTAATCACAATATTAAAAACTCACCTATATAGAAGGCAGATAATATTATCATATCCATTTCAGAGATGAGGAAAACAAGCCCAGGGAGGTTAAATAAGTAGTCTAAACTTATACAACTAGTAAATGATATTTATCAGGATTCTCAATCCAGCAGTTTCATTCTTGATTTAATGTTTATAGTATAATCCTTCAATAAAGGATTTGAATACTCTAATTTTGCCAGTTATTTGAGGAAAACCAGCCAAAGTAATTAGGAAAGACAAGATGAAGCAGGAGAATAATTGACCACAACAAACAGCAGATAACTGAGGAATCGAAAATATATTAAAACACTTTTTAAAATGCATATCCTTTGAGAGCTCTGAAGATATATTACACTCATAAAATTTTGGACAGAATAAAAGTAAATAAATAAATAAAAGACTACTAGAGAAGAAGGAAAACTTTAAAAAAGATGTGGTTGTTAAATGAATTTTAAAGTAATTAACAGTAGGACTCAAAGAAAACGAAATCAAGGGCCTCTTACAAATTGTAACACAAAGGGAAAAATATGAGGAAAATACCCTCTTCTTAAAACTCCTTGGTGGCTATACATTATACACAGAATTAAGTTGAAACTTACTACCATTACCCACAAAGCACTATATGATATGACATCTAACCTCTCCAAACTAATTGCAACAATTTTCCCATCAAACCCAAATATTTTCTTGAACTTGTCAGTATTTTCTAGCTGGATGTCTCTGCTGGAAAACTTTTTCCTTAGCACTTACAGTGGCTGTTTTCTTTTCATTCTTGTGGTTTCTAAGCAGATGTTTCCTCATCACAGTGGCTTTCTCTGACTACCCATACAGTAGACCCACCTTGGCCTTCTGCCCAACTTATTATATTTTTCTTCATCGTATCTCATTCAAAGTACTTCTCATGATCTGAAGTTACTTATTCTTTTGATTCTAATTTTTTTCCTCTGCCACTAGAATGTCACCTGTATAGGGACAGACTCCTTCTTTGTCTAATGGGATTAGACAGAATTGAATGGTTGAATAAATATAATATAAAAGAAGAATCAAGAAGTGGCAGCATTAATATCCTGTAAGTTCTGAAAAGATATTTTTAAGAATAAAGGGAATAAAATAATCAGAGAAGTAATAGGAAAACATCTTCAAGGCTCCTGAGAGAGCTACATGTTTTTTGTTTGCCAGCAATAGAGCTGCTCTGGCTAGCAGCCAGTTGCCACGACACTCCGGGGACCCACTTTCATTTCTATATATCTTGCCTCTCATGGTTGATGCTGGGCATGTGCCAACCAGTCTGTCAACAAAGTATTTTCTTGAGAACTTATTTATGTGTCCTTATTCTATACTCTGACTTTCTAGATGACTACATAATCAGGTGATCTCTAATTTGTTTATAAGATTTAAATACTAAACAACACCTAAGATAAGAATTTCAAAGCACAGCAACTATCACCACATTAATACCACTTAAGCAAAACATTTTTCGGTAAAACTTCTCAGATGGCTCCTCATTTCTTCTTGATATTTTTAAAACCCGTTTCCAATAGATAAAACAGAAAGCAAAAAAAATTTTAAGCTATAAATAGGCAAAGTCCACGGCACTTATTTTAAGTGATGAATAAATAAATAAAGCAATAAATCAAAAAAACAAATTCACAGGTCAAATGGTAGCATTACTTCTCCAGGTCAAACAATGGCATATGCACAGCTGAGTTAATAAAATTCCCAACTTACCAAATGTGCTACAGTTTTCAGTTGTGTGTTAAGCCACATCAATCTCCATGGTTCCTCAATGTTATCTGGGAGAGGTGTATAAACATAATATGCTACAAGGACTCCCACAGTCAGAAGATACAACGATTTTCTTCTCATGCTGTATTTACTTGCTTCTTTGTCTTTAGAAACGCAGAAAGTAAACTTACATGATCTGCCTGAACAGTGTACTCTGATAGGCAGTGTTTCTCAACTCTACCCAGAAACTTTATCTTACTTTTGGAATACAGAATCACCCAATCAGATTAAGAGTTAGCATAATAAGGTAACAATTTTATTGGTTAGCCAGATAGAGTCATGCTGAGTGCAAGTTCAAGGTTTAATGAGTAATAGGAATCTTGAGCAAGTTCTGTCAATGATCATACTGTTATTTGTAGTCCAAGAAACAAATGTGTATTGACTAGTAACTTGGGAAATCATTCTTTGACTCTAAGAAAATTATTCATAAAAATATACAGAATGCATAACCTATGTTTTAAAATAGCTCATCATACAATAGGGGGAAACAAATGAATACGTTTTTAAAGTGCCGTGTGGTGAGTATAAAAAACACAATAGCCATTATTTTTGCCATTATGCAATTTATTTTATCTTGCAAGAGATGGATGTATTAGCAATTAGGTCTGATAACTTTTTTCAGATGGGGTTATACAAATAATGATAGAAATAATAACAGTAACAGTGAACATTTATTATTTACTCTGTGATCCAGGCCCTATGCTAAGTGATTTACATACATAATCTCAGTCCAAACAATAAATCTATAAAACTAGTATTATTACCTTTACATAAATGAATAAAATGAGTCTTCCAATGTTTAAATCACTTCACTGAGGTCATGTAAGTATTAGAGCCAGAGAAATTCCAGATAGAGAGTAATAGCTTTCTTTTTTTTTTTAGTTGGAGTCTCACTCGGTCGCCCAGACTGGAGTGCAGTGGCCGCTCCCGGCCACCGCAGCCTCGACCTGCTGGGCTCCTGTGATCCTTCCGCCTCAGTCTTCCAAGTAGCCAGAATTACACGCATGTGCTACCATGCCTGGCTGATTTTTTTATTTATTGTAGAGATGAGGTCTCACTGTCCAGGCGGGTCTCGAACCCGCAGGCTCAGGCCATCCACTCACCTCAGCCTCCCAAAGGCGCGGGATTACAGGCTGAGCCACCGAGCCCGGTGTACATAGCTTTTTGAAAATAACTTCTTTCTCCCCCAAATCTAGCATACACACACACACACACACACACACACACACACACACACACACACACACACACATTCTAAAAATATATATATATATACATTATAGAATGAAAATACAAAAAGAAAATAATAAATCACATTCTTACATCGCTAAGATCACTGATGTTGACACTTTAGTATATTTCCTGAGAGATCTGAGTACACATATGTGAAACAGCTTTTTTCTGCATGCCTGGGTTCTAAATCACTACCTCTTCCTTTTTTTTCACCCAACCCTGGTAGTGCTGCTTCTTGTAGTTACCAGTATCTAAGATCAGTTTTTCTAAACTTCTGACACTTGCATAGACCACTATCAATATCAAGTTCTTCTCTGTTTTAGATACCTAGCATGATTTTCTCTATACACATAAATCTTTTCTACCTGAAACATGAAATTAACCATTCAATCAAGGAATCCTGGTTTTCTTTAGTGGGGAATGAAAGTAGAGAAAACAATCTCAGCACTGTGTGTACTCACTGATGCTAGACCATTTTAGTACCCAGAATTAGAAAATACATATTTTTAAAATATGGGTTTATAAAGATATTTAAATTTAATTGAACACTACAAGATTATGTTTCAACTTTTTAATAACTTTATACCATTTTAAGCTGATAGTCTATTTTCATTTATTATTGAAATCATGTTCTTTGTATGAGATTTCAAAGCATATGCAAAAAGGAAAATAAAATACTTTAAAGCACTCAATGGACTATATTGCTTTAAAGTAGTATTTGATAAAATGGATAAAATGTGATGAGGACTTTGATACTTTCTTTGCATTCATTTGGGTGTAGAAGCAAAACTATAACAACTTTTAATATGATTTTAAAACTAATGCAATAAACCAGTGACCATCCACCACCTGACCAATGACAGTTTCTATCTTTGCACATTGTGGGTTATGCCTGCCTAATCACCCTCTAATTTCTGGTTTGCTCAACTCTTCTGTGTTAATGCTTACTTTCTGTGATATTTACTAGCCCTCAAATGGGCTGAATCTGTTTCACTTGTCATTTATCTTCCCTCCTTGACTCTTACAGATTATGTTTTTCCACTTATTAAATGACGAGATCTTTTCTTTAAGAAAGCTTCAGTAGTCTTGATCATTTTAAGTAAATAAAATACCAGTACTAGTAATAATAATCATAACTAACATCAATGTTGTTATAGAGTTGTCTTTTTTAATTAGTCTCATAAGAATTAATGAATTGACATAATCCATATATTAAAAATAAATATGCTGCTACATGGAAGGTTTAATTCACCAAGGGTGCATAGCTAATTATCTTGTTCTACTGTAATTTTTTTTAATCACTAATAGAGAATCTATTTCTTAAATGTGAAATTGTATCTTTGATCCTTCTATATTTCCTTGAGAACAAGACAATCTGGTTTTGCATTTGGTTTACTACCTATTAATTGTATAACTTGATTAGCCTGAAATTTTAATTGCTGATATTATCTCATATTAGTTTTACACAAAATGTATTAGAAGTCTCAAAATATTAATATAAACAATAAAATAACCAAGAGATGTTTAGAAATTTATATTCAGTATTCTGTCTTAAATCTATCTACATGAATCAAATAATCAATAGACAGTACCAGTTCAGCATTTTTCAGAACTCCTAACAATATCTTGTCCACTACCTACTGAAGGCCCAAGCACCTGCCGTCATATGGCATTCTTAAGAGGTCTGAGCATGTATATGTGCAACAGCTTTCTTCTGCATGCCTGGGTTCTAAGTCACTATTTCTTCCTTTTTCTTCACCCAGCCCTGGTAGTACTATCTTTTTTTGCAGTTACCAATCTCTGAGATCAGTTTTTTAAAACTTATAACACTTGTGTAGACCACCATCAATATCAAGTTCCTCTCTGTTTGAAATACCTAGCATGATTTCAACATCTTTATCTGGATCTAGTGATACAAATAAGTAATGCACTTGAATACCCCTTGGTCAAAATTATATATATCAGTGTTTTCCTCATGTGTTTCTTCTGTCTTCTGAAGCAGTTACAATAAATAGAGAATGAAGAAACATAATTTACAATTTTGCTTTTAAATGTTCTCAAAAAAATACTGACATAATCTAGGGTGCCAATTCTCCAGGCATTCCAGGTCTCTGGGTAAATCAAAAGCAGTTGGTTGGAAACAAGGTTTTCTAACTCCTCCCTGGTTTATAGCTACAATGAATCTCAAATTTTTCTCTCCAGGGCATTTCAATGATGAGAAAGATTTTGGCTACAGGAATATAAAAGCATTACTTAGGGTTTCTACAGTAGGGTTTCTTAATGTAGACTTTTAAAATAATTTTTAAATTTTTTATTTTAAAATTGTGGGGTACTATTCAGGGTCAGGTATACAAATATTCACCATGCAGGTACCTTGTTGATGAGGTATGACCCCCTTTCCCCAGGCACATTCCCACTACTGCCAATCCTACTTCCCCACCCCTTACCCCCCTGCAGTTTTCCACTACTATCAATCCTTTTCTTTTTTTTTGATATCTCCATTTTTAATGAAATGCTGCATTAAAATAATTCTCTTTTTTTTCTGCATCCATAAGTTTATTGCAACACTATTCCCAATAGCAAAAATATAGAATTAACCTGAGTATTTATCAACAAATGAATGAATAAAGAAAATGTGGTGTATAAACATGATAGAACATTATTCAGCCATTAAAAAATGAACTTATACCTTTTGCAACAATACGGATAGAACCGGAGGGCATTATCTTAGGTGAAATACATTAGACACAGAAAGACAAGTACCACATTTTTAAAACACAATAGAATAAAACTAAATTGTATGCCTTTTATTTCATAGGTTATTTTTTTAATCAATATTTTTTATTATGATATTGTGGGGTACAGTTAAGGGTTAGGTATACAAATATGCTTCGTTCAGGCACCTTGTTGATAAGAGGTGTCTCCACATCCCCAGACAGATATTTACTACCATTAATCCCATCTCCCTTCCCCCCCCCAGTTTCCCACCACTGTCAGTCATTTTCTTATAGTATTACATTGGATGTTCAAGATCCACTATATGAGTGAGAACATGTGATACTAAGATCTTTGTTTCTGTGAGAGGTCACTCAGTATTATAGACTCTAGTTCCATCCAGGTTGCTGCAAAATTTGTGATTTTGTTCTTTTTTAGGGCTGCGTAATATTCCATCATATATATGTACCACATTTTTTAAATCCAGACCTCTTTTGATGGACAGCATGGTTGCTTCCAGGTTCTTGCTATTGTGAACAATGCTGCGATAAACATATGTGAGCTGGTATCTTTTTTATACAGTAATTTGAGTTCTTCAGGTTATATTCCCAGTAGGGAAATTGAGGGGTCATATGGGAGGTCAATATTTAGAGCTTTTAGGAATCGCCATACTGTTTTCCACAGAGATGCACTAGTTTGCACTCCCACCAACAGTGTAGAAGTCTTCCCTTTTTGCCACACCCTCTCCAGCAACTGTTATTTTTTGAGTTATTGATAATTGCCATTCTGACTGGAGTTAGGTGGTATCTCAGTGTGGTTTTGATTTGCATCTCCCTGATGATTAGTGAGGTTGAACATTTTTTCATGTGTCTGTTGGCTGCTCAGATGTTTTCCTTTGTGAAGTGTCTGTTCATACTTTTTTGCCCACTTTATAATGGGGTTGTTTGTTTGTTTTTTTTAGCACGTTTGAGTTCCTTGTAGATCCAAGATGTTAAGCCTTTGTCAGACCTGGAGTTGGCAAATACTTTTTCCCAGTCTGTAGGCTGTCTCCCTGCTCTCTTTATGGTTTCTTTGGCTTTGCAGAAGCTTGTCAGTTTAATGAGGTCCCACTTGTCTATCTTATCCCTTATGGCCTGTGGGTTTTGAGTTTTGTTCAGGAATTGGATGCCAGTTCCAATTTCTATGAGGGTATGTCCTTCATTTTCTAAGATTCTTATGATTTGAGGTTTTACATTTAGGTCTCT